CAGTTTTTCCAAAATACTCCGAAAGACGCAGATGGATGGCGAGCATAATAAGGGCCCTATTTATAGAGTCAGCAGTCCATGTTTTACTATTTTGGGCCAATTTGATAATGAAAAACAATAAATAAAGAAGGAGACATATAGTAAGGCCCCGCTCACACCAGGGTGCAGTGGGAATGTGCACTCTGGGAATGCATGTTCCCGCACGTTTGGGGGACTGGAGTGCATCCCCATTGATCTCCATTGGATCCCAAGTGCAGCAAAGTAGCACATGTTGCAATATACATGCAGTGCCTTTTCCCCGCGTGTCTGTGTATGTTTCATGTGCAGGAGCCCGCGGGGGAGAAATGCGTTTGCTCATCTGTGCTTGGGGTGCCATTACCTTGTGCCGATATCATAAGTGTGCCCTGGTGGGATCGGGGGCCTACCCAACGAAGGACCGATTAGTATCATTCACCCGGATACAGTGAGGAGTTGTAACAACATTACAGATTCACCAACACATGACAGATCTGGGTTCAGGTGTCAGCGTTTGCTTTGCCTTCAAGGGTTCCCCCTCGCTTTGAAGAAATGTCCTCTCACTTCCTGCTGTGTCTCCAGGACAGGAAATGAAGAATTTTCCCTAGAGATACATTTAGATTTAGAACCTTCCAGGGTAGATAGACTTCAGAGAGCTCTAAGTCATGGTATAAGTTATTCTGCTTTATTTAGGATTAAAGAAGAACTCCGGGAGCTGCAATGAACCCTTGCAGTGACGCTACCCTGGCACCGCAAGGGTTAACTGCTCGTTTTGGTCTAGGGGTGGAAATAAAGAAGATACACTCCCCCGATCCTCTGCTGCAGTGACCGCTCGCCTCTCTCCCCCTCCTCACCAGCTGTGGTATGACCAGGGTTGTCCCAACCTTTTCACTGAGCTGTCAGCTGAGCCGGATGGGAGGTGGCCGGTGGGTGGCCGAGCAGGAGGCGGCGGGCTACTGAGCTGTCAGCTGAGCCGGATGGGAGGTGGCCGGTGGGTGGCCGAGCAGGAGGCGGCGGGCTACTGAGCTGTCAGCTGAGCCGGATGGGAGGTGGCCGGTGGGTGGCCGAGCAGGAGGCGGCGGGCTACTGAGCTGTCAGAGCCGGGTGGGGGGTTGGGGGGGGGTCGGGTGCTATTAGGTGCCCATGCTGACCCCCCTGCACCTGCCACCCCCCCAATGAGATGCCACCTCATTATGGGGACACGCCTCTAGTACACTTGCATAAGATGCATGCAGGTTCCGCCGCACTCCTTACCGCACTCCCCTTCTCATCAAAGGTGGGCGCTGAGGTGACCGCGGGTGGCGCCGCTCAGTATCACATGAGAATACAGGAAGGTCACCAGCACACCAACGCAATGTATCGAAACGCACGTCTTCTTTTCATTGACGCATGTTGTCACATGTACAGCGCAGCGTTTCGGGGGCAGCGCAGGGTCCCCTTCCTTCAGGATCAATGTTATTATATATATGGAGCCTGAAGATACTGATCCTGATGAAGGGCCCCCTGCGAGGCCGCGAAACATTGTACTATACTTGTGACAACATGTGTCAATAAAAACAAGACGTGCATTTCGATACATTGCGTTGGTGTGCTGGTTCCTGTATTTTCATATTACACTTACATTAGACATGATGATGTTGAGGATCTTTAGACCTTTGGAGCCCGGGGGGAGAAGAGGCTGCAAGAACCAGTCTAACAGCCAGACAGGACAGAGGATCGGGTGAGGATATCTTCTTTATTTCAGCCCTCCTAGACCAAAACGCGGAGTTGCCCCTTGCAGCGTGGTGGTATCCTTACCGCAAGGGTTCATTTTTACATTTCCTGGAGTTCCCCTTTAAATTAAAGGCTATTGTCGTTGTTTCTTCTATTATGTTACCAATAAAACTGGGAAGTACGGAGTTAAATGACGCATTCCCGCTGCCTGGTGCTCAGCCGTCACCTGACTCCATATTTCTCACTTCTAGGGAAATCAGAAGAGTAATTCTACACCTTACTATGCGGTCTGAGCAGACAAGTAGCTATGGACTCCCTCCTTCCCTCCCATCACATGTCTGCTCTCATGTACTCTTCCTGCTTCTGGTATGGAAGTCACATGACTTGATGATGTCAAAGCTCAGCCCAGTCACATGGTCAGTGAGGTCATTAGAGCTCCTGGGTGGGGGGGGCTGGTTGCTCTGTTGATACAAATGTGGGAGATATTCCAATGGCAGAAGTCATCATGGGGGTTCCACGAGCTCCCCGTCATAGAACGGGGGACACATTGTTACTCTGAGTCATGACACAGTATCGGTATTGTGACATATTGTATCTCTTCTCCACATTGTTTGTAAATACTGTCAGTGGGATATGTGACAATGTAACATTGTGTGATAGGCGGGCGGCTGATGCGATGATACAGATCTATAAATACAGAAACATCTCCCTGTGATTGTGCATTATGTTGTATTGATGAACTGTCCTATGTACAGCAACCAATCAGCATCCGCCTTTCATTGCCCCGACTGTACGCTGGAATCCGGTTGGTTGCTTTCGCTGGCTGTAATTTGCATATCATTGATGTACTTTGTTGTAATAAACTAAAGAACAGACAGGAACTATACTTACCTGCTGCTGAACTACAAGTCCCAGCATAGCATGTGCATGGTCAGCATCCTTTCTCAATGTAATATTATTATAAATTGCTATTTCAGTGCAGACTATACAGTGTAGGCCAAGGATAGGCAACCGGCAGCACTCCAGCTGTTGTGGAACTACAAGTCCCATGAGGCATTGCAAGGCTCTGACAGCCAGAGACATAACTCCCAGAGGCAGATGCATGTTGGGATTTGTAGTTTTGGCACAGCTGGAGTGCCAAGTTTCGCCACCACTGGTATAGGCCAGGGATAGGCAACCTGCAGCACTCCAGCTGTTGTGGAACTACAAGTCCCATGAGGCATTGCAAGGCTCTGACAGCCAGAGACATAACTCCCAGAGGCAGATGCATGTTGGGATTTGTAGTTTTGGCACAGCTGGAGTGCCAAGCTTCGCCACCACTGGTATAGGCCAAGGATAGGCAACCGCAGCACTCCAGCTGTTGTGGAACTACAAGTCGCATGAGGCATTGCAAGGCTCTGACAGCCACAGACATAACTCCCAGAGGCAGATGCATGTTGGGATTTGTAGTTTTGGCACAGCTGGAGTGCCAAGGTTCGCCACCACTGGTATAGGCCAGGGATAGGCAACCGCAGCACTCCAGCTGTTGTGGAACTACAAGTCCCATGAGGCATTGCAAGACTTTGACAGTTGCAGGCATGACTCTCGGAAGCAGAGGCATTATGGGATTTGTAGCTTTCCCAAGAGTGGGAGTACTGAGGTTGCCTACCCCTGATATAGGGCAGTGGACATGTAAATTTTGTTTCGTTCCAAATGCATATTCATACAAATTACGTTAAATTTGGACATTTAGATGCATCCGGATTTCCGAATTTGAATGAGTCCGAATACGAAATCCAAATGTTCCTTTAACGAAAATGCAGACTTAAATTGGACATGTGACCGTTCTCTGGCCAATCATTTATTTTTTTGTCTGATGGGGGTTACATTACAGTCATGGTCATGTGACTTTGTTCCAGGACAAAAATTCGGATGGATCAAAAATCTGAATAACCAAAAGAATAAGGGCCGGCGCACACCTAGGCGACTCCTGACCGCGCGGCAAACGTGCACCATACCGCACAGTCACGGAGTCGCCCAGCACAGACGATCGCGCTGTGGGTGCCATTATTTCCTAACGGCACCCCAGTCCCGCCGGGCAGATCGCACGGTTACCTGCCGCGATTCCGCCCGTGCATCTTCAACACGATCTTGGCTGAAACAATTGCCGCGCGGATGTCACCCCATTGCCGCATGGCAATCGCTGTCTGCATTGTGCATGACCGCGCGATCCCGGACCGCTCAGGTCTGCACCGGGCCTCAAATGTCAGATCTGAAACCCCCCCCAAAAAAACAAAAGAACTAAAAATCTGAATTGATCTAAAATAAAGTAATTTTTACATGTCTAGTAGGCAGTGCTCGTCCCTTCAAGGGCAGCGGTGCTGGAGCTAAGCATGCTGGGATTTGTAGTCCCCTGGCAACTTGACTCATTTACACTGTGTATAGCTTAGTTGGCAACATTCTAAAACAACGTCTAGGAAAGCTTTGCTGCGTTGTCATTGCTCATCTGCTTTATTTAAACAAATGAAGATTCTTATAGTAGCCAATCAGGTTGAACTTCTTCAATAAAGGAAAGAATCGGATTGGATGGCTGGGCTGCAGGTTTTTCTACAGTTATTGCAAATCAGTCCCCGAGGACGCCGCTGTGATAACATCCGTATTATTATTATTATATAAAAGGAAAGAAGTCATAACAAATATCATGTTAAATGTAAATATTATCTTATTATTTCTTTGCTGGGGAGGAAATATAAAGGTTGTTTCCAATAGGAATGTGTCCCGGGGAGGAGGCTCGGTCCCTGTACATTGTATCTCTCCTGATTTCTGTAACTTTGTCATGTTATTGTGATTCTTCTTCCGGTGTCTCATTGTCACATTGTCACCTCTCATTGTCACTGTAACACGTTCCTCTCTCTGGTGCTCCTTGTACGGGGCTAGTAATAGGTGACACCATTGCAGGGACTCCCTGGGACTGTACGGTCAGCTCTGTGTCGAGTCTCCTGGGCTGCAGGCAGGAAGGGGTTAAGCTGAGAGAGGTGGGCGGGGTTTGGAGGGAGTATTACAGAGGAGGGGGGTGTGGTCTGTATTACACACATGCTGGGGACAAGGATTACAGAGCTTCAGCTAACATGACATAGCAGATAATGAGAGGCACCTCACACCCAACTGTAGGAGGGGTGCCGCCTTATCACGGTGGCCCACGCTGGGCATATCTGTATCCAGGGCTCAGCAGATGGAGGCGACCCCCAGGAGGTGACCCCTTCCGACGCTGACCTTCACAGGGAGCTGCAGACATGCTGAGAGTCCCCCTGTGTCTCCCTCACCTGCTGGGGGGTGCCAGGAGCAGAGCCTGGCAGATCTACAGGAAGGCTGGCATCACCGTGTGCTGCTCATACAGGACTATAGACCACCGCAAGCCTGGCCAGTATGTGCCCTCTGGGACCCCAGCCCTGTCTGGCCAGTATGTGCCCTATGGGACTCTTACCCACTCTGGACAGTATGTGCCCTCCAGGACCCTCACCTCACCTGGACAGTATGTGCCCTCCAGGACCCTCACCTCACCTGGACAGTATGTGCCCTCCAGGACCTCCACCTTGCCTGACCAGCATGTGCCCTCCAGGACCCTCACCTTGCCTGACCAGCATGTGCCCTCCAGGACCCTCACCTTGCCTGACCAGCATGTGCCCTCCAGGACCACCTCCTTGCCTGTCTCCTGGCCAGCTTGTTCTTCTTCCAGCCACAGGTTGTATAGCACATCACCTTCCAGCCAGGCAGGGCCGGACTCTGAGCCCAAGGGTGAGGAGGGCTCAGAAAAAAGTGGCAAGAGCCTGGCCTCGCAGGATGTCAAGAGGCTGCTGGCCCTGGCCCAGCCGGAGAAGTGGAGGCTCTCAGGTATTATGGATCGGATTATCTGTATCGTATGTCCGCTATGTTGGAATGTGAATAGTTGTTCTGTTCAATTGGTTGACTGCCTGTCATTGTAACTGCTCTCGGGTCAATATTTACTAATGGTTGGGAGGTTCTGATGGGCCAGATTTGGGGATTTGCATAATTTAGCTCCTGGGAGAAAAACTTTACAGAATTCTAATGGAAAACAATGAGCAAATCCATCCACAGTTTAGGCAAAATGTCCAATTACAATCTTTTCATCCAACTGAATCTGTGTCCAGATTGGTTCAATTTGCAGAGAATCCTACAGACTATCAAGTGTGATTGGCCGCTGTCCAAATTGTGTGATATTCTGCAGAACAGACCGATCCATGAGTGTGATATTCTGCAGAACAGACAGATCCATGTGTGTGATATTCTGCAGAACAGACCGATCCATGAGTGTGATATTCTGCAGGTCAGACCGATCCATGAGTGTGATATTCTGCAGGTCAGACCGATCCATGAGTGTGATATTCTGCAGGTCAGACCGATCCATGAGTGTGATATTCTGCAGGTCAGACCGATCCATGAGTGTGATATTCTGCAGGTCAGACCGATCCATGAGTGTGATATTCTGCAGGTCAGACAGATCCATGAGTGTGATATTCTGCAGAACAGACCGATCCATGAGTGTGATATTCTGATAGTTTTAGGCCTCATTCACACTGCCGTGCGCGTACGTGCGTATTGTATCATATGCAACATATGCAAATAAATGGCTCCATACACATAGCCGCGCATGGAGCCGGTTATTTGCGTAGCGTATATATGCGCAAAAACAGAATGGAACCGAGATGTGTCCGGGCAGCGGATTTCTGCGTTTTTTACGCGCATACGCAGGTTTGCATGGGTATACGCGCGTATGTGCTTACAGTACCTTTTAAAATGTCCATTAGGAATGATGCATTCATAGACGCTCGTATATACGCAATATACAATTTTGCTTGCGTTGGGTGTGAATGAGGTCTTAGGCCCCGTTCCCACTGCACGATATGCAAATCGCGAGATCGCGTTTAAGCTTGCATTGAGCAAGTTTGAATCGTGGCTAAATCCGCTCCAAAAAGGGTCCTGCTGTAGCGACACGAGGACCCTTTGCCCCATTGAAATGCATTGGACCGCGATATCGCGCTGTAATTTGGCGCGATATCGCGGGAATTACCGCACGATAAATCGCTCAATATGAACGGGGCTTTAGTGTATTGATGTTTGTAGTTGTTACTTTGTATTTCATTGTTGTAGGATATATCTTCTTATAATATTAATAATAACAGGTTTAAAGCAAAATGCCCAAATTGCCTAGGCCCCTCCCCCTTTTACAAATCATCAAATGTAGAATGTACCTGTAAAAAACCAAAAGTCAGATGTACAATATATACACGGTATACTCCACCTCCATCTTCCTCATGGCTGTACGCATTGGAGTGTGTGTGGCCAGAGTGAAGTAAGGTCTCGCTCGCACCAGGGCGGTTGGGGATCAGCACCGATTTTATAAGGCGGCTTTTGGTGTTTTTATTTGTGTTTCGGCGCTGAAACGCAATTAAAAACTCCCAAAACTGCAATAAACAGCGCGGTTCCATTGAAAGCAGTATGGAAACCGCACTGATCAGCGCGGCAAAAAAGGTTCAGGGAGCCAATCGGGCAGTTCGATCGCGCGGAGCCACATGGTTGCATGAATGGTCCCCATGCAATCGTTCATGTCGGCGGATCCGCGCGGCCGAACCTCCCCGGTGTGAATGAGGCCCTTAATAGCACAATGTGACATCACAGGGATCCCGTTCCTTGTGAAGGGAAATATCAAATAAAAGCAGATGTAGAAAAACACTAAACAATCAGGCTGAGTAGAGAAGCCGGTCCCCTGCCAGCATGCTGCGGGGGGAGACCTTTGTGGTCTGTGTGGAAGCAGTGGTCTCTCTGCATTAGCCCAGCATGCCCCCTGCTGAGTCAGGGCCAGAGATATCCAATTGGCATGAGGTTTGCTGATGGGAGAGTTCCAGCTTTGACCCAGCAGGGGGTGAGTGGTCTGTGCCATAGCCAAGAAGTGTGTGTCCTGGGCCAGCATTGTGTGTTCTTGGCAAGTGGTATGTTCCCCCGGGTGAGGGGTGTCTGTTTCCCCCGGGTGAGGGGTGTCTGTCTCCCCCGGGTGAGCGGAGTCTGTCTCCCCCGGGTGAGCGGAGTCTGTCTCCCCCGGGTGAGCGGAGTCTGTCTCCCCCGGGTGAGCGGAGTCTGTCTCCCCCGGGTGAGCGGAGTCTGTCTCCCCCGGGTGAGCGGAGTCTGTCTCCCCCGGGTGAGCGGAGTCTGTCTCCCCCGGGTGAGCGGAGTCTGTCTCCCCCGGGTGAGCGGAGTCTGTCTCCCCCGGGTGAGCGGAGTCTGTCTCCCCCGGGTGAGCGGAGTCTGTCTCCCCCGGGTGAGCGGAGTCTGTCTCCCCCGGGTGAGCGGAGTCTGTCTCCCCCGGGTGAGCGGAGTCTGTCTCCCCCGGGTGAGCGGAGTCTGTCTCCCCCGGGTGAGCGGAGTCTGTCTCCCCCGGGTGAGCGGAGTCTGTCTCCCCCGGGTGAGCGGAGTCTGTCTCCCCCGGGTGAGCGGAGTCTGTCTCCCCCGGGTGAGCGGAGTCTGTCTCCCCCGGGTGAGCGGAGTCTGTCTCCCCCGGGTGAGCGGAGTCTGTCTCCCCCGGGTGAGCGGAGTCTGTCTCCCCCGGGTGAGCGGAGTCTGTCTCCCCCGGGTGAGCGGAGTCTGTCTCCCCCGGGTGAGCGGAGTCTGTCTCCCCCGGGTGAGCGGAGTCTGTCTCCCCCGGGTGAGCGGAGTCTGTCTCCCCCGGGTGAGCGGAGTCTGTCTCCCCCGGGTGAGCGGAGTCTGTCTCCCCCGGGTGAGCGGAGTCTGTCTCCCCCGGGTGAGCGGAGTCTGTCTCCCCCGGGTGAGCGGAGTCTGTCTCCCCCGGGTGAGCGGAGTCTGTCTCCCCCGGGTGAGCGGAGTCTGTCTCCCCCGGGTGAGCGGAGTCTGTCTCCCCCGGGTGAGCGGAGTCTGTCTCCCCCGGGTGAGCGGAGTCTGTCTCCCCCGGGTGAGCGGAGTCTGTCTCCCCCGGGTGAGCGGAGTCTGTCTCCCCCGGGTGAGCGGAGTCTGTCTCCCCCGGGTGAGCGGAGTCTGTCTCCCCCGGGTGAGCGGAGTCTGTCTCCCCCGGGTGAGCGGAGTCTGTCTCCCCCGGGTGAGCGGAGTCTGTCTCCCCCGGGTGAGCGGAGTCTGTCTCCCCCGGGTGAGCGGAGTCTGTCTCCCCCGGGTGAGCGGAGTCTGTCTCCCCCGGGTGAGCGGAGTCTGTCTCCCCCGGGTGAGCGGAGTCTGTCTCCCCCGGGTGAGCGGAGTCTGTCTCCCCCGGGTGAGCGGAGTCTGTCTCCCCCGGGTGAGCGGAGTCTGTCTCCCCCGGGTGAGCGGAGTCTGTCTCCCCCGGGTGAGCGGAGTCTGTCTCCCCCGGGTGAGCGGAGTCTGTCTCCCCCGGGTGAGCGGAGTCTGTCTCCCCCGGGTGAGCGGAGTCTGTCTCCCCCGGGTGAGCGGAGTCTGTCTCCCCCGGGTGAGCGGAGTCTGTCTCCCCCGGGTGAGCGGAGTCTGTCTCCCCCGGGTGAGCGGAGTCTGTCTCCCCCGGGTGAGCGGAGTCTGTCTCCCCCGGGTGAGCGGAGTCTGTCTCCCCCGGGTGAGCGGAGTCTGTCTCCCCCGGGTGAGCGGAGTCTGTCTCCCCCGGGTGAGCGGAGTCTGTCTCCCCCGGGTGAGCGGAGTCTGTCTCCCCCGGGTGAGCGGAGTCTGTCTCCCCCGGGTGAGCGGAGTCTGTCTCCCCCGGGTGAGCGGAGTCTGTCTCCCCCGGGTGAGCGGAGTCTGTCTCCCCCGGGTGAGCGGAGTCTGTCTCCCCCGGGTGAGCGGAGTCTGTCTCCCCCGGGTGAGCGGAGTCTGTCTCCCCCGGGTGAGCGGAGTCTGTCTCCCCCGGGTGAGCGGAGTCTGTCTCCCCCGGGTGAGCGGAGTCTGTCTCCCCCGGGTGAGCGGAGTCTGTCTCCCCCGGGTGAGCGGAGTCTGTCTCCCCCGGGTGAGCGGAGTCTGTCTCCCCCGGGTGAGCGGAGTCTGTCTCCCCCGGGTGAGCGGAGTCTGTCTCCCCCGGGTGAGCGGAGTCTGTCTCCCCCGGGTGAGCGGAGTCTGTCTCCCCCGGGTGAGCGGGGTCTGTCTCCCCCGGGTGAGCGGGGTCTGTTTCCCCCAGGTGAGCGGCCTACGCACACAGTTTGTTCTTGCTCAGTCCTGATGCTGCTCAGGAATTATTCTGCATCTCCAGAGAGGAAGTGAAGGACCATCTGGGGACCTGAGAGAGGAATTAATTATCTGTGTACACCTGATCGCTGTCCTCTCCGGAGCCGGCAGGTTGGACCTCCCTCTGATATCTCACACACTGTGGAGTCCGCTATGATGAGACTTCTGATCCTCACTTCCTGTCTTCAGGAGTACTAGGAATAGGGCGGTGCCACAAAGGGGAGTACTAGGAATAGGGTGGTGCCACAGACAGCAAGATATCAGGAATAAGGGGTGTATTAGGAAAAGTGGGTACCAAGAATAGAGGGGTACAAGGAATGGGGGGTATTGGCAACCAGGGCAAGTGTACTTGGAAAAGGGGCGTACCAGCAACAGGGTGCACCAGCAACAGAGGGGTTACCAGGCATGGGCGAAGGAAGGTACCAGAAACAGGAGGGGGTACAAGAAACTAGGGGTAAGACTCACCAGGGTAATAATACTGTGTGACTGTGGCGGGGCATTAGAGTGTATGCTCCTGTGGTGCAGAGACACCTATGAATGGTTTTGTACACCACTCTGCTCTATGTTGGCGATGAATATCCGCACACGGTCAGCTTGGGCTGTGATGTGGGGGAGGGGTCTTATCTCTCGGGTGGATGTGGTCATAGTGAAGAAATCTTTGTGTAACTTTCACCAACTTCTCTATCTGCGGAACCATCCGGAGCTGAGCGGACGGAGACGATTGTCTGTGTGTCCGCTGAGTCCGGACTCGCATCTGATATCTCCTCCGCCCAGCACATCGGAATAAAGCCGACTCAGCTTCTACGACTGAAACCCCCCAATACACACCACGGGGGGATCTGCATTGTCTAAAGATTTCGGCTGTGTAGACTTTCACTGTGCAGTATATAGGAGAGCGATCACCAGAGCAATGTGCAATGTTCAGCAACCAACCACAACCAGCCCTTACACGCACATGAACTTTAATGGCCCCCCAGTCTTAGTCCGTAGTGTTCAGTATTGGGTTGGCTCCGCCCTTTAATGGCATCCCAGTCTTAGTCCGTAGTGTTCAGTATTGGGTTGGCTCCGCCCTTTAATGACATCCCAGTCTTTTGTGAGGTCAGGTACTGATGTTGGGGGAGGGGCTCGCAGTCTCCGCTCTAATTCATCCCGAAGGTGTTCTATGGGGTTGAGGTCAGGACTCTGTGCGGATCACACTCATCCAGCACGTTATTCATCTCACGTGCCCCACTCAATATGGCCGCCGCTTGAGTGGGGCACGTGAGATTAATAATGTGCTGGATTAGTGTGATCCTAGTTCATATTGATACTTCATTGCTGTGCTGCATGTGTATAGGGCAATGCTGTGCTGTATGTGTATAGGCCATTGCTGTGCTGCATGTGTATAGGGCAATGCTGTGCTGTATGTGTATAGGCCATTGCTGTGCTGCATGTGTATAGGGCAATGCTGTGCTGCATGTGTATAGGGCAATGCTGTGCTGTATGTGTATAGGCCATTGCTGTGCTGCATGTGTATAGGGCAATGCCTTGGCTGGCGCTCGTGCAGAGAGTTTCCAAAAAAAATTAATCGATCAAAAAATGTTTACTCAATCAAAAAGATTAACGATTAATCGAGAAATGAATCGTTAATTTGCACAGCCCTATAAAAAAAGTGTTGTTGTTGTTAATTTTAAATAAATATAGTATTAAAAATGATTATTATTATTATTCACTTTAATTATTAAAAAATATATAATCAATAAATAATGATACAAATAAGACACATTCATTGTATTTATTATTTTAAATATAACAAAATAGTAATAAGGTGTTTGGGATTTGTTGATCTCAGCGATTGTTTTTCCACGTTCTTGGTAATAATATTCTTTTATCTGACGCGTATCGGTGATATTTGATATTTTGTATTCTCAGCGGCGCTCGGATTCCTCACCGTGTCCAGCGTCATCACCATGTCGGCGCCGTTCTTCCTGGGGAAAGTCATTGACGTGGTCTATTCCAACCCCTCGGGGGACTTCTCCTCCAGCCTGACCACACTGTGCGCCGTGCTGAGCGGAGTCTTCCTGTGCGGAGCCGCCGCCAACGGGGCCCGCGTCTACCTCATGCAAACCTCAGGTACGATGGAGCCCTCCCCCCCCATGGGGAGGGTACGGGGGAGGGAGGTAAAAATGAGCCAATTGGGTGATTCGGGCATTTTTTTAAAATTATTATTCCTCTGAATATAAGAATTCAGAGAGATGTAGAACTCCTGAAGTGACATTTCTCATTTTACAAATCAACGTAATACGTAAAGCAATAAAAGACGGCATGACATGCAGGGCTTTCTGTTGAGAAAGCCCAGCACTACCGCCTTTACATTTTAACTATCTCTGCCTAGCTCAGGGATAGGCGACCTTGGCTCCCCAGCTGTGCTGAAAACATAACAATCCCCTCGTGCTTCTGCCTCTGGGAGTCGTGCCTGTGGCTTGCAATGCCTTATGGGATTTGTAGTTTCAGCACAGCTGGAGAGCCGAGGTTGCCTACGCCTGGCCTAGCTGAAACTCCAGAGGGCTTTACATGAGCCGGCAGAGTGGTGCGCGCTCCTCCTCCGAATCATCCAGCTGTATATTGCACACAAACCTGCAGGAGATCGAACTACAGCTGGCTATGCAGGCTAATCACAGTCTAGCAGTAAAACGACTCGCCGGTATTATGGATCCCACTTTGTATATTTTCACTTCCTGTTGATTTTAGTAAATGTGATGTCATCCCGGTGAGGAGAGTTGTTCCGGATCTTTGGATAAATCGACAAGACGCGGACCGGAGAGCTGATCAATCGGTTGTCATCGGACTGCGTTGTGATCGGAAGGTCGGTCACGGAGAACCTCTCGGACGGGCTCAGAGCGGTGGCGCAGGCCGCGGTTGGAGTCGGGATGATGGTAATTCTGGTGCTGATGTCATGAATTGGGATTTACTCCCAGGCTGCATTTTTTGGGGAAGCAAGTGAGGAGAGGAAAAACGTTACAAGTCCGGGGGTTTTCCTAGGCTAAGATGATGTCATCAGTCTGCTGCAGGCAGGAGGAAGCACTTCCTCAGTCTCCCCTCCCCCACTGATCACATCAATAATATAACTTTGTATCCAGTCACAAAGTGAGAGGCTGCAGCTGATTGGATGCTCTGGGCTGGAAGATTCCAAAACTATTGATGTTCCCAATCTAATGAAAGTCTGCACTGTGATTTGAGCTTCTTATGGATTTTGATCCCTCTTTTCTCTTCTCCCTCTCTCGCTCTTTCTCTCTCGCTCTCTCCCTCGCTCCCCTCTCTTCCCTCTCCCTCACCTCGCTCCTCTCCCTCACCTCGCTCCTCTCCCTCCCCTCGCTCCTCTCCCTCGCCTCGCTCCTCTCTCTCTCCCTCGCTCCTCTCTCTCCTTCGCCTCGCTCCTCTGTCTCGCTCCTCGCTTCTCCCTCACTCCTCGCTCTCTCCTCCCTCTCTCTCCCTCGCTCCTCTCTCTCCTTCGCCTCGCTCCTCTGTCTCGCTCCTCGCTTCTCCCTCACTCCTCGCTCTCTCCTCCCTCTCTCTCCCTCGCTCCTCTCTCTCCTTCGCCTCGCTCCTCTGTCTCGCTCCTCGCTTCTCCCTCACTCCTCGCTCTCTCCTCCCTCTCTCTCCCTCGCTCCTCTCTCTCCTTCGCCTCGCTCCTCTGTCTCGCTCCTCGCTTCTCCCTCACTCCTCGCTCTCTCCTCCCTCTCTCTCCCTCGCTCCTCTCTCTCCTTCGCCTCGCTCCTCTGTCTCGCTCCTCGCTTCTCCCTCACTCCTCGCTCTCTCCTCCCTCTCTCTCCCTCGCTCCTCTCTCTCCTTCGCCTCGCTCCTCTGTCTCGCTCCTCGCTTCTCCCTCACTCCTCGCTCTCTCCTCCCTCTCTCTCCCTCGCTCCTCTCTCTCCTTCGCCTCGCTCCTCTGTCTCGCTCCTCGCTTCTCCCTCACTCCTCGCTCTCTCCTCCCTCTCTCTCCCTCGCTCCTCTCTCTCCTTCGCCTCGCTCCTCTGTCTCGCTCCTCGCTTCTCCCTCACTCCTCGCTCTCTCCTCCCTCTCTCTCCCTCGCTCCTCTCTCTCCTTCGCCTCGCTCCTCTGTCTCGCTCCTCGCTTCTCCCTCACTCCTCGCTCTCTCCTCCCTCTCTCTCCCTCGCTCCTCTCTCTCCTTCGCCTCGCTCCTCTGTCTCGCTCCTCGCTTCTCCCTCACTCCTCGCTCTCTCCTCCCTCTCTCTCCCTCGCTCCTCTCTCTCCTTCGCCTCGCTCCTCTGTCTCGCTCCTCGCTTCTCCCTCACTCCTCGCTCTCTCCTCCCTCTCTCTCCCTCGCTCCTCTCTCTCCTTCGCCTCGCTCCTCTGTCTCGCTCCTCGCTTCTCCCTCACTCCTCGCTCTCTCCTCCCTCTCTCTCCCTCGCTCCTCTCTCTCCTTCGCCTCGCTCCTCTGTCTCGCTCCTCGCTTCTCCCTCACTCCTCGCTCTCTCCTCCCTCTCTCTCCCTCGCTCCTCTCTCTCCTTCGCCTCGCTCCTCTGTCTCGCTCCTCGCTTCTCCCTCACTCCTCGCTCTCTCCTCCCTCTCTCTCCCTCGCTCCTCTCTCTCCTTCGCCTCGCTCCTCTGTCTCGCTCCTCGCTTCTCCCTCACTCCTCGCTCTCTCCTCCCTCTCTCTCCCTCGCTCCTCTCTCTCCTTCGCCTCGCTCCTCTGTCTCGCTCCTCGCTTCTCCCTCACTCCTCGCTCTCTCCTCCCTCTCTCTCCCTCGCTCCTCTCTCTCCTTCGCCTCGCTCCTCTGTCTCGCTCCTCGCTTCTCCCTCACTCCTCGCTCTCTCCTCCCTCTCTCTCCCTCGCTCCTCTCTCTCCTTCGCCTCGCTCCTCTGTCTCGCTCCTCGCTTCTCCCTCACTCCTCGCTCTCTCCTCCCTCTCTCTCCCTCGCTCCTCTCTCTCCTTCGCCTCGCTCCTCTGTCTCGCTCCTCGCTTCTCCCTCGCTCCTCGCTCTCTCCTCCCTCGCTCTCCCCTCGCTCCTCTCTCTTTCAGTTTTTTGTGTCTCCACAATTGGCCACCTTTGTGCTGAGCATCGTCCCCCCCCTGGCGGTGGTCGGAGTGATCTACGGCAGATATTTACGGAAAGTCTCCAAACTGACCCAAGATTCTCTGGCGGAAGCCACCCAGGTGAGGACATGACGGGTGCTGTTTTCATGTTATTTCATATATTTTAATTAAATGTCGTTGTATAGACCCCCCCC